TCTTCTCACCCTTGTGGAATTAGGGAGGGCCTCCCCGAACGACTTCCCTTGGGCTTAGCTATTTAGTTGATCTTAAAAGTGTCTTATACACTTTTCGCGAGTCTACTCTAGCGTTACTTCCTTTCAGACAGGGTACAGTGGGTTATCTGGAATAGGAGCAATAGGCGACTGCCCAGCTTGCCTTGGCGAAATCTGTCCGATCTTCTCTACCAAACCTATTAGTATTTGCCGTTAGTCCTGTTAATTGCACTTTTGCTTTCAGATAATGAGGTATTCCTTAAGAAGAACGAAGACATCGTATTTTTTGCTTTTTATTGTATTTTCTTTGAAATTTCGATCGTTGTCTTTCTTTTACAGGTATTTTTGTTTTCTTGTCTTTCTCTTACAGGTATTTTGTTTATTACTTTATGAACTGTTATATTATGTAATTGTAACTTAGAATAATAGTTAAAATGTTTCTAAATTGATCTTTTGGCATAAATGTTAAAGTTAAATTAAACATTTGTTAACGCTTTCACAATTAAAACTCATTTGGGTGGATAGGGTGGCTATAAGGGGTGATGCGGAGGCCACAGAGGGTTAGGGAGGCTTCTTTCTCTCTACTCTAGTGTTTAAATAATAATATGACAGTTTATAAGTAATATAACGCTATTTATTGTATTTTCATAAAAGTGTCTGTTGTTTTCTTGTCTTTTTCTTGCAGGTATTCTGTCTTTTAACATTTATAATTCATTAAAATTGTTATTTCATACATATTTTGTTTGTATTATGTATTATGCAGTTATTTGAAATAAATATGGTTTTTTATAAGAAATGTACATTTTGTATCTAAATAAATCAATACATTATAATTGGACTATTATTATTTTCGTATCTCTGAAGTGTAACAGTTAATTTATCAGTCATGTAAGTGACTGTAAAATAACGTTAACGTTCAAGGTGACATAATAGTCTTAATCCCAATGCCATTAATTTTAATTTCCGTCTATCCTGCTGGCGCCCTCTGGCGGCGAATATCCAAACTACCTAATGGAAAGGTATCCAGTTCGCACCGCCCTCTAGCGGTGGACTGCTGAACTAAAATAGTTTCGCTATTCGCCATCAGGCCACCCGTCTGGCGGCGGATAGCCGAACTAATGTAGTTCAGCATTTAGCCGCTAGAGGGATACCCTGGCGGCGGATAGCTGAACTAATGTAGTTCAGCATTGTGCCGGTAGAGGGACCACTGGCGGCGGATAGTCGAATTGCTATAGTTCATCGGTCTACCGCTAGAGGGCGCTGCAATCACTTACATTCCGAGAATAAAAATTAATACTGATCAAGGGGATCCAAGGTCACACGTTTAACTCGGTTTATTTAACTTTGTTTTAAATGCATTCATCAACTATTACACAGGTAATACACGCAAATGATAAAACAATAATGATTTAAGATTTATTTATTTAGACAAAAATTACATCTATTACAACGATATTTATTTCAAACAACTGTATAATACATGATACAAACAAAATATCTCAGAAATAACAGTTTATAATGACTTATAAAAGTTACAACACAAAATTCCTGAAATGAAAGACAAGAAAACGAATGGAATTTCAAGAAGATACAAANATGATAACCTGCTGAAACAATTTAATATTAGTTTCATATCAAATCATATTAAATTATTAAGAATCATAATTTCCATCAATCAAATAATAGACTATCAAACTGAATAATCAACAATTACAATTCAAAAGAGTAAAAAATTATAATACTAATTATTGTCAAACAAATAGAGTTTATATATCCACCTAACGCTTTATTAGTCTTAAAGCTAACAAAACTATTGTTAATATTCCTCAGTCTTGCTCACTTTTAACGAGATATGATCAAAATAAGAAAAACAATCCAATCTAATCGGTTTAGTTTCGGTATTATCCATGCAAAGTCCAAAAAGTCACAGTACAATATCAGAAAAAAGAAGATATCCTTAAGTGTTAAGCTTGTTGTTTATTGTTGAACATACTGACGTGGAACATATAATATGGACCTACTATCTACAAGCAAGTCTGTAGACTTCACATTTTACTTTATGAGATACCTTGAATGTTTGTAGTTTTAATTCAATATATTATTAAAAATTAAAATTAATTCACTAATACATTTTACTTTATATTTTTTCACATAGCATTTTCCATCGGAACTCTTTTTATGAATTAAATTTTAATAAGACAATTAAAAACATAAAAATATCAAAAAACTTTAATGAATTTAATTAACAAACAAATCATTCTAACATAACGATAATTCTCTTTACATATTTGTGCTAAAATATTAAAACATTATTATTTCATGTAATAAAACTATTTACACTTCAAATTAAATCCTTAATTATATCTAGAAGAATATGTCAACTACTTTGTAGGTGTTTAGTTCTTATTATTTTTATTGTTAAAACTCTCTTCAAAATATTGATTGGGATGATTAATTATGATTTTACTGGGTCTTCCATGCATATATTCAAAATATTTACTACAAGCTACCTGATAGTGACCCTCCTTTGCATAGTTAGCTATCTCATGAGCCCCTAAAATAAATAGGTCCATTAAATGTTGGAAAGTAGAACAACTGATTAAATAATCTGAAAATTATTTANAATTCGTAAATAGGAACTGACCCGCCTATAAAAAAAAACCATGAGACTGGGATACTAACAGCGTATTTTAACCATTTTACTTCAATTCCTAAGAATATAAATGATTACTGTAATTAATTATCACGATAACGATTCATTATTATATTACAACTTCAAAATCATATAAATGCAACTGGTAACCAGCTTTCCAATACTTTCAAATATGGATTATTTTAAAAAATTATTCTGGGAATAAAACAATAAAAATTTCGGTGTTTATTTTTCATAATTCAAAAAATGTTTTTATCCTCCGAATTAATTTCAATTTATTATTTCACACATCCTTGAATGTTCCAAGATTAGAATTTCCTAAACTTCATTATAAGAAATTTTATTCCTAAAACAATGAAACGTGTTTTTATTTATTTCTATCAAATCTTTAAACAATGTTTCATACAAATTCATCACCGACCTTCGCTTTCATTCAACGGTCAACCTGCAAAAATGATCAATAAAGTTAATTAGCTAACAATAAGCTATTAAAATAAGCCGGACTTTAGATAAAAGAAAAAACATTGAAAATCAATATTATTTAAAAAAAAATTACGGTATTGGCCTGAATACAAACACTTCTGCAAGAAAACACAGTAAAAAACAGAGGAAAATAATGTAGAAGTAAAATATTTCATATGCAACCATACACGCACTAGTGTAAATTCGATTGCATACTGATAATTGCTCAAAAACACCTAAAACCAGCTTCCGCACTTATAAAAATGTAAAAATATTTGAATACCTATAAAACATTTTGAAGAACAATTTGCTTTTTAACGAAAAAATGCGTTATATCTGAAATTATTAATTATTACTTTTGTTACAAAGCTAAAAAGTGTATAATAAATCCCGTAAAATAATTATGTGAATCCAAAACTGACTTGAAAGCTTCTTTTCTATTTTCCGAGACGTTTCTGAATAAACAACAAACACCAAAATCATTAAAATGAACAATTTTATGATTACTTGGGACTAACAGACAAGATGACAAATTATTACGAGTAACATTAAAGCATATACGTTTTTAATAGAAAAAGAAGACAAACTCAAAATTTAACAGCACATAAATATACTTTTGATATTGACCCCTAATTAGTTTATTCTAATGTTCACATGAATATAAAAGGTGTCAATATTTTAATTATGCATCAGGAATTGTTTTTCTTTTTTACTTTTATAATGTAGAAGAGAGTGTTTCAAAATAAAATCAGTAATCACCAGGCAAAGCAATTACCACTTCACTAAGCCTTTTCATTTTGTTTTATAAATTAAAAATTTGTCATTTACCCATTGTTGTTTCTGCTTCCAGTGAATAAAAGCTCCAGACTGGGATGAAATGTGGATTGCTACAATCGCGGACAAACCATACATGATGTCCAAAGTTTATGTAATTACTCCTGTTAAACAATCAAAACAATATTTAAATATATAATTAACTTAGGCTCAATAGTGCATATGTTAACAGAACATTAAAATGTAATGCATAAATGTGTTCCTTTGTGATGATCTTAGTATAATACAAAGGAACAGAAGGTCAAAGCTATAATTTAATATTTAATCAATTATTATTCTTTTTAATAGTTCATTAAACTGTTTAATTTTAAATTAAAAATGTGCAAAATCATTATAAATAAATAAATAAAGTATGAATGTAGGCTAAATTGATTATTTATGAGCACATATTCGAATTATAAATTCTTGGTTAATAAGCATGAACCTACAGATAAATAAAACAGTTAAAACCAGCAATGCCATATACCATTCCTAATCGTAATACATGGTACATTTATTTTGTTTTGAGGCTTGGAGCCTGTTAATCTACTAAATAGGTGAAAAACAAATAAATCTGTTTTATGCCTAATTTTAGGTATTTAGTGTTTTATTTATTTTGTTCCACAAAACTTTTTTTGATTTTCTTGCACGAACATGCCATTTATAGTAATGAATTATCAATGATTTTTTCTTAAATTGCCTGAATCTTCTCTTATACTATAAATAATACAAATTAATTAGATTTCGACCATTCCATGACTTCGAGCAGAATTTTTTTTTTACGAAATCCACCACCATACATAACTCGACCCAACTTAAACGTCATTGATCAGGTAGTGTTACCCTTTGTGTATCTATTATCTAATCTATGTAGTGTTATTTAAAACCATTAACTTGTTGCCATCATTGAGTTGCCATAGATAAGGTTATTATCACAGATAAGTTATTAAGTATGCTTTGAAGATAGGTACGTTCAGATCATAGAGAAAGGACAATTGAAAAGGAAAACAATAGGTGCATAACATACCATTGAGCCACGATTGAGCCGAATCTAGCTAATCTTATATTTTTAATACTTAACTCAAACTATACACATAATAATATTTATTATAATTTATACGTCTCCAAGGTTACTTCAAGATGTTCAAATTTCAGAGATAATTTAATAAAAGCTTCACACCTATTATCTTACATTTTTTAGAACGGATTAAGTTCTTAGTCAGTTACTTCTCACAACTACCAGACGTGGCTCGCAATTTTGATATTCTTTGATCTCATCATTAAATTGTTTGTATATTTTTTAATTAGTATTATTTACCGAATCGCTGATAAACATAAAAATATACAGTTTGAATTTTCTAAAATGATACTGGAAATAGTTGAAAAGTTTTGGAAATCGTTTATAGATGATAACAAAAGAAGTTAATACAATTTTCAACGCTTTCCTAATGACCAAACACNCAAATAATAGACTATCAAACTGAATAATCAACAATTACAATTCAAAAGAGTAAAAAATTATAATACTAATTATTGTCAAACAAATAGAATACAAGATTTGGAAAGTCACACACCATTTTATATGCACATCATAAAATAGTTAAAAGATTACTTACTCTTTTTAAGTACAAGAGAAAGAAATGTGAGTCTCTTCTTCTCCACATTTCGGCTCCTTTTAATTTACCCTTTTCATGTTCACTTATTATGTTTTAATGGAAACCTGTTGAAACAACTTAGTATTAATTATATGTTCATCAGGCTTTGTTATTTTATTATTAATGATAAATACTAATGTTAACACCATATGAATTTTTTGGCAAGCTCATTAGAAGCATTTTTGGAAATAAAAATAAGTCTGACTGCCACAAACATTGCATCTGCAAGTTTGCCCATCTAATCCGAGGATATCATCTCACAGCAAACCTATATTACAGAAAAAAAAAAACAAAGCAAAAATAAGAATTTTTCTAACAGAATCTGAGAACTTTAAGGGCAAAATAATATTTTGTCTATAAATCGAAAGCAATTCTTCACAACGTGGCCCGATAACTATGAAAAATCTACAATCATCGCCTAAAACAGTTTTCAAAATTTAAAAATCCTAACAAAACCCTAACTATTCATCTTTAAATAAACTAAGAAACTAAAAATTCACGGTAGATGAGTGGGCAGGCAATAAACCTCGATTGACCATCATATTATAACACGAAACCAGTACGCCACCGAGTCGTTCACGCCAAAAAAAATCCAAGCAACGGTAATCGAAACGCATCAATTACTAAATAGAAACACATTCTACACAATCAAATGAAAATCGAATATCATTAGGGCTAAATACCTTCGGGCATTGTCTCCGTTAATGGACAGCAAAACCACAGCTTATCATACCCATGAAGACCGACAACAAGTTGACAAATGAGAAAAAGAGATCGCCGGAAGATCCATAGATAAAAATTCCATCTATATTTACAATACATAGATAATAGATTTTGTAGGTGCGTTCAAATATACTAACTCAGGTTAATTCGTAAATAGGAACTGACCCGCCTATAAAAAAAAACCATGAGACTACGATACTAACAGCGTATTTTAACCATTTTACTTCAATTCCTAAGAATATAAATGATTACTGTAATTAATTATCACGATAACGATTCATTATTATATTACAACTTCAAAATCATATAAATGCAACTGGTAACCAGCTTTCCAATACTTTCAAATACGGATTATTTTAAAAAATTATTCTGGGAATAAAACTAAAAATTTCTCACACCCTTGAATGTTCCAAGATTAGAATTTCCTAAACTGAATTATATCAATAAAGTTAATTAGCTAACAATAAGCTATTAAAATAAGCCGGACTTTAGATAAAAGAAAAAACATTGAAAATCAATATTATTTAAAAAAAAATTACGGTATTGGCCTGAATACAAACACTTCTGCAAGAAAACACAGTAAAAAACAGAGGAAAATAATGTAGAAGTAAAATATTTCATATGCAACCATACACGCACTAGTGTAAATTCGATTGCATACTGATAATTGCTCAAAAACACCTAAAACCAGCTTCCGCACTTATAAAAATGTAAAAATATTTGAATACCTATAAAACATTTTGAAGAACAATTTGCTTTTTAACGAAAAAATGCGTTATATCTGAAATTATTAATTATTACTTTTGTTACAAAGCTAAAAAGTGTATAATAAATCCCGTAAAATAATTATGTGAATCCAAAACTGACTTGAAAGCTTCTTTTCTATTTTCCGAGACGTTTCTGAATAAACAACAAACACCAAAATCATTAAAATGAACAATTTTATGATTACTTGGGACTAACAGACAAGATGACAAATTATTACGAGTAACATTAAAGCATATACGTTTTTAATAGAAAAAGAAGACAAACTCAAAATTTAACAGCACATAAATATACTTTTGATATTGACCCCTAATTAGTTTATTCTAATGTTCACATGAATATAAAAGGTGTCAATATTTTAATTATGCATCAGGAATTGTTTTTCTTTTTTACTTTTATAATGTAGAAGAGAGTGTTTCAAAATAAAATCAGTAATCACCAGGCAAAGCAATTACCACTTCACTAAGCCTTTTCATTTTGTTTTATAAATTAAAAATTTGTCATTTACCCATTGTTGTTTCTGCTTCCAGTGAATAAAAGCTCCAGACTGGGATGAAATGTGGATTGCTACAATCGCGGACAAACCATACATGATGTCCAAAGTTTATGTAATTACTCCTGTTAAACAATCAAAACAATATTTAAATATATAATTAACTTAGGCTCAATAGTGCATATGTTAACAGAACATTAAAATGTAATGCATAAATGTGTTCCTTTGTGATGATCTTAGTATAATACAAAGGAACAGAAGGTCAAAGCTATAATTTAATATTTAATCAATTATTATTCTTTTTAATAGTTCATTAAACTGTTTAATTTTAAATTAAAAATGTGCAAAATCATTATAAAGCTTTGTTTTTTT